TAGGGTTGCTACCCGGAATCGTCCCGTATTGAACCGATACGGGACGCGATTTGTTCCGTATTTCTATAAATGTCCGATAGACACGCCTAACACTCACATATTAATACTAATTATAAAAATAGACCAAAATAAAACAGGAAATATTAAGGTCAGCTAAATTCTCGTGGCGGGAGCTAAAGGACCCCAGAACGCTACGGCCCGACGCTGAACGTCACGGTTCAGCGTGGTCCGCCTAGAGACCGCCTAGAGACGGACACTGCGCAGCCGCAGTGAGCTGCTATCAACCCGCTTCTTTTTAAAACGTCCTCTACCCGATTCTCCACCTTCCTTAGAAGTAGAAACGCTTTCAAAAATACAGATGTGAAAGGGAAGACTCGCATTCCAGACTGAACAATGTTAGTGAGGATGAATAAAGACGATTAAAGAAAATGTGTCCGTCGTGGCGCAGTGCGATACCAGACAGAATGGATCAGGAGAGGAACTGCAGACCCGTCAGAACCCAAAGAACCAGACATCAGAACCCATCAATCATCTCCTGAGACTAATATGGTACAGAATATTTTGCTATGATTGATTAAGTTTCTCATTGTGGTTTTAGCTGACTATTATGGTTTGACTATTTGCTTAGCATTGCGTTTGGATTCAATTTATTATATAATAGTATCAGCCAAAATAATATAAATTCCCATTTAAAGAACAAATCATACTAAGAGATTAACAGTAAATAAATACATAAATATTTCCTACATTAAAAAAGTTGGCTAGGGCTTTCTGTGAGTTTTGTTTAGAAATGAATTTTATTCATTCAGTGTTCAATGCATTATTTCACTATTATTTTATCAATGTGGTTTACCAGTTTGCATAACCTGACTTCCTATCCATGAAGAAAAAACATGCTAAGCAAAAATACACCAGACCTGTAGCCCAGGGGTGGCTGGAGGGGGGGCACAGGGGAACTGAGGAAATGATACTAAATAAATGTATCTTGTTAGGATTTAGTGGTAGATTTATTTAACTTTCACAAGTTTACTTTAACAATGAATTAAAATTATAGTGCTGCACTTTTAGCTGCTCTATACAGATAGGATCATACTTTCCATCTGCTGGATCGGGGATCTGCAACCTGGATCTCTGTAGACACAAGTGGCTCTTTGACTTGCTTAATATATCAAATGATGAAATGTTGTTCTGGGTTTTTTTTTGTTTCATTTTTTAAAGTGCCCCCATAAAAACGCACTGACTATCCTGGCCCCTGTGGTAAATTTGGTCTAGAACAAGCCTCCAAACCTAACTCCTTATTTCTATAAATATTTTGGTAATATTCTTTAACATCCCAGAATTTTCACATAACTTTTTGGCTGTCTGAGGACGTTTTGAATATTAAATCATGTGCTATGATCAATTTCTCATTACTTGAGTAGATTTTTACCAAATACATTTTACACCTGCTTATTTAAAGCTTAAGTAAATCTGCTTCAGTAGAAACATGTAGAAACATGCGACTCTGATTGGAGTATAGTTTTGGGGTATTCTAGGCCACCTCTATTAACGATTGCTCTATGGATCACTTTAACAGAAACACTGCCATGAAATACCGTCTATCCCTGCAGCGGCGGTCCCACCCATGAGACCCATGAAACACACACACACACCCGTGTCAATTGGAGATCTTACATGAGCGTCGGGCGACACGCCGTGGTGGGCATCCCTTATTTTGATTTCTGAAAGGTGGCAACCCTAGCTGTGCCGGGTCGCTGACACGGTTCTGGCTCGGTTCTGACCCTGTTCCTCCATTCTGGATGGAGCTGCTTTGCCTTCCATCCTCCATATAAGCTGCAGACAACCGGATTGACTTCAGCAGAACCGGGTCTCTGCTGACGGCAACTATATTGTTTGTCATGTTTTCCCGGTGCCGGGTTGGTTCGTGGCGGGCCGGTACCGGACCCTCTAAGAAGGATGAGATGTGTTCCTGATTAGTGAGGATGAAACTGACCACAACCGGTACCAGTCTGCCAGCAGCAGCTGAACCCGCAGACATTCCAGAGGTCTGGTTCTGAGGTTCTATAGTGTAGGCAGACCGGATGCCAGAACCTTCAGAACAAAAGCATCTGTGCTCTGATACCAGGAGTTCTGGTTCTGCTGACCATAAGTCCTTCATCATAATCAACCGATTATGATGAAAGTCCTTTCTGCAGTTCCCAGCGGCGGCCAGCAGAGGGAGGCAATCCTCCATGCTTCCTCTTCTCTGCTGGTCCGATTCAGGTTCTGGTTCTGGACGGGTAGCATGCAAAAAAGTCCAGTGTTCCAGTTTAAACAGGATTCAGATTTTTACATGTTCAATCAGTCAAACTTTATTTGTTCAGCAAATTTCAGCAACAGAGCTTTACGTCATAAAAACACAGAAACAACTGAAGCGTCACGTTCTGCTGCCAATACACATCAGATTATTGATCAATGAAGCACTGATTAATGTTTAATTAATTATGTTTCTAAAGCAGCTCCAACCAGCTGGTTTAGCCTTAAAGGAACTCAGTGTTTCAGCTGTTTTGCAGTTTTCTGGAAGTTTGTTCCAGATCTATGGCATATAGAAGCTGAATGCTGATTCTCCATATTTGGTTCTGGTTCTGGTTGTGGATGCAGAGCAAAACCAGAACCAGAACCAGAACATGAGAGGGCTGAAAGTTAATGCAACAGCAGATGATTAAAAAATATATATCTTTATAGTTATTATGATTTTGTATTTATGTTTTTATCAATTCTAATGTTTTTTATTGCTGTTTTAATTTTAATTGTATTTATGATTTCTATTTTATTTTTATTATCCTTTACCATTTCTGTTGTAATATTTTATTATGTTCATTGTCTTACTTTAGATTGTTTTATTTTTATTATTTCTATTTTTATATATTATTTCTTCTCAGCTCCTGCGATTTCTGGCCAATCAGGTTTCATCTAAACATATCAAACATGTTTCCTCTGATTGGCTGATCAGTGTCCAATCAGGAAGCAGCTCTGTGACGACTTACAAGGCATCCAAAGAGCTTCTAATCGGTCACATGACAAATCGGAGCAGAAGTCTGACTGGCTGTTGTCCCGACCCACCTGTCTCCATCTCCAGGTGTGTGTGTGTTTGTGTGCATGTGTGTCTCCAGCTGTGTGTGCAGGTCTGTTTGTCTGAGAACATCTGGCTGCTCTCCTGTTGTTTTGCTCTGTGTTTGGAGGCAGACTGAGCATCTGTGTGTGTGTGTGTGTGTGTGTGTGTGTGTGTGTGTGTGTCTGAACCAGGTTTTTGTATCCCTGTGGGGACTTATCTCTGTCGACAATGTGGGGTTGTGGGGACCTCTGCTCCTTGGGGGACATTTGGTCCCCATGAGGGAAATGCTGTTTTTGGGTTAGAGGTTAGGCTGTAGAATATGAATGAATGTCAATGTGAAGATCCCACAAGACACAAAAACACGACTGCCTTTTTCTGTGTTTGTGAGTGTTAAACTCCTTCTGCTCCAACTTAAACTTTATTCTCTCTTCAACTTCCTGACAGAAACCTTATGGGTCACCTGTTTGGGTCAGGGTGAGAAGCTGAACTAGAACCAATTGGATTACTGAACAGGAAGGATGAAGGGATCGGATCAGAACCTCAGAACAGCGCAGTGGTTTAACTCGGTTTTTTGTCAAAGCGGGGGGTTTTGCTGCTCTGCTTCTCGCCTGCAGGCTCCTTCTCTGAGCTGCAGAGCTGGGCTGGTTCTGGAGGAGCCGGGATGTGCGTGGGCAGCAGGGTGTGTGTGAGTGTGTGTGAGAGGCAGAAAGCAGAATAGATGAATGTAAGGAGGCTGACCTTTGACCCCTGGCTGCCTTCCCTTCAGCGCTCCGCAGATATTTTGGTTCTGTGGAAGAATCTGAGTTTTTTTCCTCGGATGGATCCATGAACTGGTTTCTGTGGTGGTTCTGCTGGGACCGGGCCGACTGCTTCAGAACCACCAACCATCACAATCTGCTGACCTGGATCAGGAGCTGTCAGAACCAGAACCTTTTCCGGGTCGGGAGTACAGTTCTAGCACCAGAGGTCTGTCGTAAACTGGACTGGTTCTGGACTTTAATGAGATGGTTCAGGTTCTTATGTTGCTGCGCTCAGTAATCCTGCGTGTGTGTGTGTGTACTTGTTTAGTACACACACACACACACACACAGAGAGAGACACACATAAAATAATTTAGTGTGTCTCTGAAGGCCGCTGGCCTTATGGGGCCCAAAGCCCGGTTCTGGTGCGGTGGACCCCTTGTTAAGTGTCAGAGGTCAGGGGTGAGGTGTGAATCAAGTTCTGGTTCTGGTTGGGTTCGTTTAAGTGCCTGGTTCAGGCTTAAGGTCCTGATATGAGGAGAAATTAGTGACTACATTAAAATAGTTTATGCAGTTAATCAACCTTTTCATCAACAGCCAACTTAATCTGTTCAACCACCTAATTGGAGCCAAGTTAAGCTTTCCAGAGTTTTTCTGATCAATCATTGAGATTCTTTAGCAGCTAACAGCAGCATTAGCTGCTACATGCTTAGCATTCAAATGCTATTTTAGACTAGCTTAGCTTCTGATAGGCTAATTCTTTTTAGCACAACTTGAACACAACAATAGTCTTTTCCAGCATCAAATCATTTAGAAGCTGAAATTATCTAAGAGAACCAGCTTCATTGCTGCTGTTAGCGGATGTAGCTGTGCGTCAGATTTACCGACCTACCAAAAACCTTTGTATTCTCATACGAATACAATGGTTCCTATCAGAACTCTTTACACAAAAGAAACAATGAATTGTGTTAAAATATTTAATGCTTTAAATCTGAAATTAATTATCAAATGAATGTGTTAAAATCCCGCCATTAGTAGAAATGTGTTGGATTTGCTGCAGATGCTCTGTCATGGTTCTGATGAAGTTCTGATTTTTTTGTGGATCTGATTGGGTTCTGTTTCTGGTTCTGATCCGGTTCTGTTGTTTTCCTGAGATCGGATCAATAATTCAGGAAGCTGCTTTCCTCCCGGCTCCTTCTGGCTCTCAGGGTTTTGGCATCTTGCCGGCTTTCTGGAGACAGATGGTGAAACGGCTGGGAATCAAACACCGACTGTCCTCCTCTTCCTCTTCCTCCTCCTCTTCCTCCTCTGCATGACAGACAAACGGTTGAAACCTAGAGACTGATCTTCTGCTGCCAGATCAGAGTCAGGAGATGTTTCAGTTCTGGTTCTGGTCCAGGCCATCCTCCCCGCCTTCCCAACCTTCACCGTCTCTATGGCAACGACCACGTTGATGTTTTGGGTTTCAGCTCCTCTTCCTCCAGTTGATTTTGTTGGGAGTCACGCGGGCCCGGTTCGGACCCTCGTTAAGTTCTGATGAAGGTTCTGGATCTGGAATGGTTCTGTTTCTGTTCTGGTTCTGTTTCTGTTCTGGTTCTGTTTCCATTCTGTTTCCGTTCTGGTTCTGCACTGGTTCTGGTTCTGGTTATGTTCTCAGGCTGCAGTTCCTCCCCTCCGCCTGCAGATGGCGCCCCAGGCTGTTCATCACGGCTGCTGCCTCCAGCTCAGGTTTTCCTGCTGAACGTTCCCTGGTTGCTCCAGGGCCGGATCTACAGGGGGCTACTGGTGGAGGGAACTGCCCTCTCTGCCCCCCCTGGCAGGAGAGCCCAGTTACCCCACTCATGTTTTATGTCCTTAAAAATAAGCAAATCTGTCTAGTTTTAGTGATGATCTTTGACACCTGAGCTGGCTCCGCCCCCATACCGTTAAACACTCGGGTTGTTCTCTTTAACAGAAGCGCCTGCTCAAGTTGATAGGCCGTTGCAGTTTGATACGTCCAACAAAGTCTTTCATGTTTGGTTTGTTAGCCATTAACATATTTTATTAGTTAGGTTTTCTAACAATAAACTCAAGAACAGTTTATGAAAAGCTAAAATATAAGAAATGTTTCCGACTCCAGCTGTTCCTCACATACTGATGTAGCATTGAAGCTAGCAACAGTTTGAAAAGATGGAAGACTATTATCATTATTATTGTTATTATCATTATGATTATCATTATTACAGTTATGCCTGCTGCTGAACTACAAGACTCTATACAGAGTAGTTGATTTACTACGACGAGCTGACAGTAAAAAGTTTACAATAAATATTGTCTGATATTACTTAACATACACCTAAAATGTAAATACAGTAAGATAAGTTATTATTTTTCAATTAGTAACACTGTTCCAGTTTTATTTCTGGTTTTATTCAAGGAAATATCGATAACTACCTGACTTAGTCTCCTCTGAACCATGTGGTTCAGAGGATTAGTAGTACCTACTCGATTAGTAGTACCTCCATCCTCCACCAGGGGGCTCAGGCCGAACCCAGAGGAACCTGCAGCAGGAACCGGTTCTACTCAGCACTATGAACCCGAACCAAGACGGGATCTGCTGCTTTTGGTTCTGATGGTTCAGGTTCTGGTTAGAAATTAGGTCAAGTTCTGAGGATTCACCACCCTTCAGCTCACTGAGTTCTGATTGGTTCTGATCACCTGAAGGTCCAATCAGAGCAAAGGTGAGCTGCTGCTGAGGTGTATTTGTTTGGACCAATCAGAGCACAGAGTGTTGTCTGGTGCTGGTTCCTCAGAACCCGTAGGTTGCTTTGGATCAGAACCAGTGGAGGCGGTTCTTGATCCATAGCACAGTCTGGTTCTGGACTCTTGAAGGTTCCGATTCTGATGGCCCACATGGTTTCTGCAGCTACAGGGTTCAGTCCAATTGGGCAGGACCATTTGAGGTTCTGATAAAAATATGGGTTGACAGTTGGACAGTTGAGGAACCTGATGGTGCTGAGCTCATCATCATCATCATTATTATGATGATGATGAAGAAGTTTGGTGACTTCAGTAACTTCTTCTGCGGTTCTGAGTTCGACCCGGTTCTCCTCCGGTATTCCACCTTCTGTTCCTCTTTGCTCCTAAAGGAGGGGGGAGGGCACTAGTGGCGCTCTCGTGCAAGCAAGCGCGCGCACCCAGCAGCAGTATACTTGTGAAAGTGCGCGCGGAGGATCGATGCTGTTATTTGTGATCGATCAGCGGCGCGTGTGATCAGTCTGTGGCCGCACACGGAGCGACGCAGTCCGGCGGAGGAGCAGCGGAGGAGCCGGTGTTCGGAGCTGGAGGAGTTCGGGACAGTCTCTCGTCTCCCGGGTCGTCCCGCCGCCTCTCCCCGCTCCGGCAGCGCTTGTCCCGGGAAAGACTCCGTTGCTGCACCGCTCTGTTTCTCCTGAGCACAGGGGAGCCGCACGCCGGCCGTGGCGCACCGCAGAGCGGACAAGGATGCCGGCGGGGGCCGCTTCTGGACGCAGTTCTTGGGTTCTGTGAAATGCAGTTCGGGACCGGTTTGGATCTTTGTTCTGTCCGTCTGAACCTCCTGAGGTCCTCGCTGCTGCTTTGACTGGACTTGTGCGGTGTCGCCGGAGATGCGGTTGGATTGTGGGCGGAAAGTTGTGCGCTCCCCGGCGGAGGGCCTCCACAGGTCCGGACCGTGACCCGGGGCGGGTCCGAAGTTCAGCTCTGCCCGGAAATGTGAAGCGAAGCGGGCAGAAGGAGGGCTCCGTTTCCCCCTCACTCACTCTTACACACACTTTCTTTTTCGCTCTTCACACACACAGACCAACACACACACACACACACACACTGGAATTTCAATAACACCCCCCCCCCCCACACACACACACCCACGACCCCGCCCCCGCCGCGCCCCCCCC